GAGGGGTCAGTGACGACAGTCGCCAGGAGACGCGTGACAGTAGGACTGGCACCACGAAGAGAGTCCGACTCCGGGTCGGCAAAAGCAGGAAGAGAGGACGCAGGAGGACAAGGCAAAGGGGCACGCAGAGGAGCAGTGGACGGACGCAGAGACATCCGGTGCGTGCCAGGGACAGGAGGAGGACGCTGACGCGAACTGCGACCACTAGTGCGAGCAGCACGAACAGGCGACGCAAGACGAGACGCAGGCTCACGACGCTCAGCAAGACCTCCAGTAGGACCAGTGTACGGAGAAGGAGAAGGCAGTGGGGAGACCGGTGGTAACTGCGACTGCGAATGGACAGGCGGTGGACACTCTAAGGGAGGAGGAAGACCAAGAACCTGCTGAAGGAGCGGAACAAAGTACGGCCGAGGCCGCGCGGCGACTCCAGACACAGCAGGGACAGCACCAGTACCCCCAGCGGCAGCACCAGCGTCAACAGCACCTCCAGCTCCAATACCTCCAGCAGCACCAGTAGCACCCGCAGCAGGACCGCCGCCAGGACTGACAGCAGTAGCCTCAGCGCCAACACCCTCAGCAGCTCCAACTCTAGTAGCACTCGCAGGACAAGCACCTCCGAGACCGGCGGCACCAGCACCCTCAGCAGCCGAAGAAGCACCAGCTCCAGTAGTACGCCTCCAGCGCCGGGCAAACCACTCGCGGAGCTCCTGTGGAGAGAGTGGCTCCCGTCGAGACGAAGCACCCGGAGAACCAGCAGGCCCAGCACCGCCAGACGCCACACGAGCAGGTCCAGCGGCCGCGGGCTCCGCACCCCCTGGCTCAGTAGCTCCACACCCAGCACCCCAAGGCTCAGCAGCTCCAGACGCAGCACCCCCAGGCGAAGGACCCCCAGGCTCAGCACCCCCAGTCATAGCACCCCCATGCTCAGCACCCCTAGGCTCAGCATCCCAAGTCGCAGCATCCCCAGACGCAGCACCCCCAGGCTCAGCACCCACGCGCGCAGCACCCCCAGAGTCAGCACCCCCAGGCTCAGCACCCGCAGCAGTACCAGAGTCACCAGCAACCTCGACCGGCTCAACTGCATCTACCTGGGACACACCTGAAGGGGCAGGACCCTGAGGGGGGAGGGGGTCTACCGGGGGGGGACCTGGCACAAGGAAGTGTGGTGGTGGGGCGAGGGAAGGAGTGCGGTAGGGGAAGAGGCGGTAGTAGGGTACTGACTCGTCGAACGTGACGTTCTGGGAGGACAGAACACGCCGAGAGGTGGGGTGGTAGAACTGCCACCCAGGGGCGTCGGGGGGGAAGCCAAGGAAGACACAGGGAGCAGCACGAGGGGACAGCTTGTCCGCAGACAAGTCGCGGACAAACGCCCGAGATCCCCAGACACGGAACGCAGACGCATCGCCGACCTTCCCCGTCCACAGCAAGGCTGGGGAGGTCTCCGGTCTCGAGACCCTGGGGTGAATGTTGATCGGATGCGCCGCGTACCGAACCGCAAACGGCCACAGAAAATGGGGGGCAGCCGCATGCATCATGGACGTACGAGCGACGCCCATGACCATGCCAATGCGGCGCTCAGCAATCCCATTTTGCTGTGGAGAGTCCGGAAGCGTAAAGTTCTGGCGGATGCCTCGCGCACGACAATAGGCTCGCAGAAGGCCAGAGGAGAACTCTCCGCCTCGGTCAGAGTGCATACGCAGAACAGGAAAGTCCGAGCCGAAGCTCCTCCTGAGCTGGAGACGAGCTGCGCGGATCCAGTCGATCAACACCTCAGCGACATCACCCTTGCTGCGCAAGGGGAAGACTGTGGTGTAAAGCGAGTAGTCGTCAACCACCAGCAGGAAGTAGCGCTCGTGACCCTCTCCACGGACGCGGGCCGGGCCCCACACGTCCATGTGAAGCGTCTGCAGCAGGGCCTCTGTCGGGGGAAACTGAGAGGAGTGAGGGGCAGCTCGGAGCCGCCCCTCGACACAGGGGACACAGGAAGGACCAGGCCCCGGAGGAAGGGGAGGGAGGGACCGGGGAAGACCAGAGACAAGGACACGGGAAGCCATGCCTCGGAGACGAGGCAGGGAGGGGTGACCAAGACGGTGGTGCCAGAGGAGAGTCTCGTGAGACAGGAGGCGACACGAGCAGGGGGCAGACTCAGGACCAGACCTGGACGCTGCAGCAAACACCTGACCCGACGCAGCTACCTGACCAGACGCAGTGACTGGAGGAGACTCAGTGGTCAGTGTGTACAGGCTCGACCCCGGCCGACGTGTAAACGTGGCCAGGTGTCGGCCTGTCCGAGCGTCCGTGCAGTGGGTCACCCGCTGACTCGCAGGAGTGAACTGGTGAACCCCCGTATCCTGCAGGTCAGCACCACTCACCAAGTTTGTAGAGAACGAGGGGAGGTAAAGACCAGACAAGGTGCCAGAGGGGGCAGCCGGACACGGGAGGACAGTGGAGAAGTGAGAGAGGACAGGACCCCCAGAGGGGTCTGCCAGGGAGACTGCAACTGGCCGACCAAGCGGCGTGAGTGTGGTGCGGTCTCGAAAGAAGGAGCGAGAAGCCCCTGAGTCAAGTGTGAAGGTGAGGGAGGCCGAAGCCGACGTGGTACCTGAGAGCGTAGACTCACCAGCACCTGAGGGCGCGGACGCACTGGCACCTAGAGCAGCAGCCTCACCAGTACCTAGAGCAGCAGTACCAATGCCCGGGTCGGGCGGGAAACACCGGTAACAGTCACCCTCATCACTAATAGTCATAGCATACATGGCAGCAAGGATAGCATCAAAGTCAAGATCAAAGATAGCTACGCCTACCCTAGACAGCTCTCCCCAGCGGGGGATCTCACTAGCCTCCGAGAACTGCTGACGCCAAGCGTCCGTCAGGCAGCCAAAGCAGCGCTGGGTGGGGTGAGCACCCCCACACTGCTCACCCGCGCGGTCGCCGGAGCGGAGGACGTAGGTGCACGGGCCAAAACCCCCACCACGCTGACGCTGCGTGTACCACTCACGGAGATGCTGAGGAGGGGGGATGTCCCGAGAACGCTGCTGCTGCTGCTGCTGCTGCTGCTGCTGCTGGCGCTGACCACTCCCGGTGCCGCTCCGCTGAGAAGTGCCACCCCGACCAGCTCCACCTCCTCCACCACCGCCGCCTCCACCTCTGCCGCCACCGCCGCCTCCGCTCCCACCGCTACCGCCACCGCCGCCTCCGCCTCCGCCGCTGCCACCGCCACCTCCACCCCCGCCACCACTCCCACCGCCACCCCCACTCCCCCCGCCGCCCCCACCGCCACCTCCACCACCCCCGCTAGCCCCACCCGCGCCCTTGCCCCCCTTGCCCTTGCCAGAGCGGCGTCTCCCGCTAGGGGCAGACGCCGCACCGACCGACTCAAGACCAACGAGGTCGGCCGCAGCAGCAGAGGCGACAGAGGGCAACAGGGGGGAAGGGGAACACCCCTCAAAGATGGGGGTGCGAGGGTCACCACGAGAGGCTCCTACAGCGACTATGCTCTTCTCCGCTGCTAGGAGGGCCTTCTCTAGGAGGTCAACAGTGAGAGTGGTGGGACAGACTGAGAGGAAGTGGTCCCTGACTACGCGAAGGGAGTCAGGGAGGCGAGTGACTATATAATAGAGAGTGATGTACATGGGGGGGGGGATTCTTGGCGCAGAACTCAGCAGGAAGTGCGGCGCGGTAGCGAGTGTCACTAGTGTGGAGGTGCGTAACGAGGTCAGCGACTGTGGGAAAGGCAGCAAGGTCAGGAAAGAGGTACGGTAGCATGAGGCGGCTCAGTGCAGCAGTGGCAGGGGAAGAGTAGCGCGCAACTACAGCGTCGTATAAGGTGTGAGCACTCTTGTACTGACTAAAGTGCGCGCGCTCAGAGGTAGGCAGGTGGCGACGCACGGCAAGACGTGCAGCAGCATCGCGCGTGGCCCACTGGGAGCGAACAGTGGGGTCAGCATCAGCAGCAGGGGCAGGAGAGGCGCCAGAGGTGAGGTCAAAGAGGGAGAGACCGTCTGCCCTATCGCACTGTAAGAACAGCTGCAGGTCATCTACCCAAACCTCAAAGTCAATGGCTCGACCCTCAGCGTCAAAAGTGAGAACACTAGGGGAAGCCATGACAGCAGTAGACTAGCGAGACCAACTGTAGGACAGGGGCAGTGCAGTGACAGAAGCGCTGGTCTCACCAGACAGGGCAAGTCGGGCAGCTCAGTAGTGCAGTAACACGGTAACACGGCTGCTCGGACGGCTCAGTAGCGACTGTGGCTCCGCGGCACCGGCGACTCGGCTGATCAGGCGGCTCGGGCGGCTCGGGCGGCTCGGGCGGCTCGGGCGGCTCGACGAAGTGCGACTCGGGCGGAGCGCGCTTCGGGCAGGAAAAAAAAAAAGTCGATGAGCTATAATGTTCTGACATTGCAGAGATGCGAATAGGCTCGTCTGGACTTCGTGGCCTCCGAGGCCAACACTGCAGACATCTTCACCAAGGCCCTTCAGCCTTGTGACCACCGCCGGTTTTGTCTGCAGTTAGGCCTTGTTGAGACTGGGTCTGGTAGACTGCAGTAGTGATTTCTTGCCTCTTGTTTGTGTGTACCATATATATTAGCTTGTATACTCTTGAACTGGCCTTGTGGCCCTTTGTTTGTGCTCAGATTGTGTGGTGACGTTGTGATCCACCCTGAGCTTTGTTTTGTCTCTTGCTTGTGACTGGTCTTGTGACCTTATGTTGCGTTTCTTGTTGCTTAGCATTCCCCACTTAGGCTATGGGGGTGTGTCAAATGTTACAGCCTCTAGTGGGTCATGCTATATGGGGTACAAACAGTTAGGGTTAGGCATTTGTACCCCAACCCAATCAATCCAACTCATTCCGCTGTGTTTAGTTTTTAAGAATAGTCTGCATCTTCTCCCACACAACCACATCGCACACGTGCTGCAGCCCAGGCTGTGGTTGCTGTCATTGCGGAACCTCGTGTTGTCCCATTTCTCATGCGCCTTCTCGTCGCATGGATCACATTCTACTACACCATTTTCATGGACGTAGTAGGACAGGCTGTCGGCGGCATGCCGGAAGCCGAGGTCTTCGACAGCGACCACTCCACGGCAGAGAGCTCCACTGGCTCCAACAGGACGGCCGAGCGCACGAGGAGGGCACGTCTACGTCGCCGACGATATGAGCTGCTTGGCGAAGACCTGCAGGGCATGGGCGACAGGGAGTGCAGGGACCTCTTCAGGATTAACCGTGCCATACTATCTTACATTGTCACGGGAATGGCGTACTACATGCTGCCCTACGTTGAGCGATCCTTCATCTCGCATGACGTCGCGAACTTGGTCGCAATAAAGTACCTGGCGAGTGGTATGGCGTATGTGGACCTCGCAAACTATTTCGGGCTGACGAAGACCCTCTGTCATGCACTAGTCGACGTGTGGCTGATGCACTTCCCGAGCGTCTTCAAGCAGCAGTGGGTGCACTTCCCGACGCCAGAGGACCTCGCCGAGATGGCAGAGCAGTTTCGCGCCGTCAAAGGAGTACCTGCGGTTGTTGGGACTATTGATGGGACGCACATACACATAAAAGGGATGGAAGGGCACAGGCAGGAGTACTACATGAGGAAGTCGGCGTACGCAGTCCAACTGCAGCTCACATGTGATGCGCGTGGCATCATATGGGATTACCTGATCGGGTACCCGGGGAGTGCACACTACCAAAGGGTGCTCATGAACAGTGCTTTACAAGAAAGGTTGCTCAACGGCGACATAGCGTCTTATCAAATCGTGGGAGATGCAGCCTACCCACTCAGAGATTTCTGCCTGACCCCACTACATGTACCCCGTGAGGGCCTAATGGAAGACTGGGCGCAATGCTTCAACTACTGCCAGAGCGCGACGCGCATGGCGGTAGAACGCTGCATCGGCGCCTTCAAAGGCAGATGGCGACTATTCGCGGGCCGCAACGACTGCCAGCTGTGGCGCGTGCTGGCAGGTGCGTCTTGCTGTGTAGTCCTGCACAACATATGCGAGACAATGGGGCAGGTTAGGCGGGTCAATGAGGATTGGGCAACCCTGCCACGAGACAGAGACCCGCGGTGGACAAGAGGCGCGGTGGCCGACTTCGAGTGGGAGCCATATGTCCCTCTCACACAAGCAACCCTCAAAGAGAGGCGCAAACGGCTCGGTGAGGCGTTGGAGGCATCGTACCTTACTCAGCGTCGCCGCGAACCCACACTTCCTCGTCCGCATCTTGGTTAGCCGCCGCGTCTCCAGTCTGCCCGCGGCGGAACCATCCGTCGTCGCCGCCTTCGTCAGCGTTCGTGGCAGGCGGGGGGACAGCTTCCGCGGGAATGTCGTCGCGTGCAGGCGGAGGTGGCGCAGTCGGCTGGAGGCGTTCGCGGGCAATTCGCTCGTCCTGCTGCATCTAGGCGCGCACGAGTCCTTCGAGCTTGCACATCGCATCCTCGTGGCATCCTTTGATCGTCTCACAAACTAGCTTCGCCGCAACCAGGTTGGAGTAGGCGTGGTTGGAGCCGACGTGGACGGCACCGTGAACCCGCACGGCACATTGACGTTTGTTACCCCGACGGCGGCCACAGCATGCGGGTTGGCGACGGCACGATTGTTCTGGAACAGTTCCATGTACGGGTACCACGGGGGCTTGCTTTCCCGACGCCTTTTCGCCCTTCTTGAGCTGCTTGTATGTCTGAACGAGGTTACGCCACTGTTTCTGAACTGCGTTGACGCCGCGAACCCACCCTGGGTTCTCCTTTTCGAGGTGGTTGATAAGGCGTGCCCAATACTGCGAGCCCTGCTTCCCTAGCAGCGACTCGAGTTCGTCTTCCATGAACCAGCGGGCAGCCACAAAGATCGTGCTCTCCAGCAGGGACCACACGCTGCGCTTCACAGGCATGTGGTTGCGGGTCTTCGGCGCACGGCGTGGAGGGTCGCCACCCTTTGAGGCGGTTTTCGCGGGGGCTGCAGGCTTAGCACGGCCGGCACGCGTGTTCGAGGCCGCGGGCAGACTTTCCTCAGGTGCGTCGTCTTCATCCTCGGACTTGTCGCCCTCGCCGTCTTCCTCTGAGTCGGACATTCCCTTGTCCGGCTCCTCGCCGGAGTCCGCCTCGTCGTCGGTGCCGACGGCGTACTCGTTGTAATCGCTATTGCCGTCGTCGTCGTCAAGCGCGTTGTCGTCGACGACGCGCGAGGAGGCAACCCTGTCGGGGTCATGGCGACCGCAAGTTGGAACGTCACGCGGAGCTTCGTAAGAGGTGGCTCTAGGAGATGTTATTTCTTCAGGCATCGGGCTTGCGGGCTTGCGCCCCGCAGCAATCTGCTTGTTAATCCAGGCGATGTACGGGATCTCATTGAGATCCCGCGGGACGTCGGTCGCAGCGTCTGCTGCCGACTTGCGCTTCCTAGCCAAGGCTGCCAGAGAGAGGAGTGCTGGAGAAACGGGAGAGAACAAAGGTGAGAATAGTTCTGGACTGGAGTTGAGAGAGGGTTTGATGTGGGTGGGTGACAATGGGGCAGGGTCGGGAAGTTGGGTTTCGGCTGACGGGCAGGGATGCGTTGCTTACGGGCGTGGGTACCAATCGATTGGATACACGGACAGGGCGGTTGCTTTTCCCGCTCAAAACTGTCACCATTGCGAGCGTCCAGATGCATGCAGTCGAGCCGGGGGGGAGCTCGACATTTCGACACGCGTGCGACTTTACATGTGTGATGGGGCCTCGTCCAACTCGTCCGCGATATAACCGCTTGTCACGCTGACCAATGATAAATACAGTAAAGGTCGAATTAGTGCGCCACGCGTTTCAGACATTGTACGTTACCAGTATGAAAAATTTACTCTGGGCACCCAGTGTACCTATTTTTCCAACTCTGAGTGCCCTCTCAAGTATTGAACCCAGCCAGGCCTTCTGCTCTCCTACCAAAAGACACAGTAATGTTGTGCGGCGCGGTTACAATTTGAATTCCTTAGACATTATATATTCTTTTAAACCCACCAATTGGGGGGCGCGGGGGGAAGAGGGAGGGTCGATCGAAATGCCTATACCCTGTACAGGGAAAAGTACATCCGCCACAAATATACACTGGTCTCTCAGAGTAGCTAACATCAGAACCCTAACAAATCAGAGAAAACTTGTCCTCCAAAAAACTTACCCAGACACGTCAGAGTGACCCCCTAAAAACCACTCTGATTTTCAGAGAAAGAGTAATTTACTCTGATAAAAAAACCCCTGGCTACCACCTTCTGATCTCACAATAGAGGAACCTGACCAACCACAATATGCACAATGCAAACATCCCAGTTGTTGCAAACCGAGACACAAAAATACACTTGAGGGCGTTATTACGCCACAGGTGGCGTCAACAACCGATCTGCGGATGCATCAGCCACGCCAGAAGGGAGCCATTGCCACATCGCCATATGCTGGTGGTGAGGCAGCCGCATGGCTTCAACCTTGACGGGTGTTTCATGTGCCAGGTGTGGTGCGTGCGTCGCTGTTTGCGGCTGCAAATCTGCAGCTGGTGAGTGGCCTAAGAAACCGTTGGTCCTAGTGGGAGCTGCGAGGGTATCGAGGTGCATCCGCAGACGATCCCGCTCAGCTTTCAGGCGTGATTTTTCCTCTCTCAGTTCGGATTTTTCAACCTGTACGTGGGAGGGGATAGAGCCGTTACACCTCACTGAAAACCATGGAGAAAGAAAGAGCGGAAACCGAAGCCCTCGTGAGCGAAAACCATGGTGCGGTTTTGAAAGGCGATAAGAAATATTCGAGGCCAACGAAGGTATGAAACTGACAATAGGTACCTTCAGCTCCTTGATTTGATCCTGAAGCTGTTGGTTGCTCGTCAACAGGCTTGCGGCTTCAGCCCTCAAATGGACAAGCAACCGGACAGCTTCCGTCAGTATGACTGCCTTATCCACCTTAACGGTTGCCGACGGACCAAGCTCCCTAGCAAGTTCTTGAAATCTGAGGGTGGCGAAGACAAACATGCGACGAATTTCAACACGCTGTGACTTCTTAGTCGACTCGAAAGTCATCTTGAAATCTGAGGGTGGCGAAGACAAACATGCGACGACTTTCAACACGCTGCTGATGGACTACCGCCGACGACTGTGGAAGCGAAGGTGGAACTAAGGACGGCCGCGTGTAAGCGATTGGACAAGAGATGGACTGCGTGCACAGCGATTGGAGATAGGATCGATAAACTGTACCTGTCGTTTAATCTATCGCGTCGCAACTTCTCCCTGGATGCTTTGCTGAAAACAACTTCTCTCTCACTAGCACCATCTTCCCGAACCCTGCACGAGAAGAATCGACACGAACGGACAAGTAAGCTCCCATTGTAACCCATTCTTTGAATAAAACACAACGTTCAAGCGTTAACCAAACAAAGCAGCAACAAAAGAACATCTTACCGTTTTCTAGAAGGCGGTAAGCCGTCGTTCGAGTGTTGTCTAGCAGCGGGATCTGGACTGCCGAGGCAACGGGGACGAATAACGCAGGAGGAAAAGATGATAGTGAATCATTTGAAGTCACATGCATCAAAACAAGGCCGAACTGGACCAGATTATCTGGACATCATGACTGCGTATATGCTGACCTTCTCTCAAGACTGTCCTGGGATAGCCACATGGGACCAAGCGAGAGCGCACAGTCTGCTTCTAGTCCCAGTGAACGAGACGAATCCATTGCGGGACGTTGAAGACAGGAATGGGAGAACCGGCTTTCAGTAAATCAGGAAGAGGCTAAATGATACTGCGGTTGGGGACTTCCCTCTAGGAAGGAGAGGAGGGAGCTACTGATCGCAAGTCTCCGACAGTCGAGCGTCCAAAATACTGATCAAGTCTCCGACTAGCAATAGATTCCTTCTACTTCCTGGTGTTCAGAGGGAGGGATTACCTATGCCGTGGGGGTTGGGAGAGTTGGGAGTTGGGAGTTCGGGGTGCAACAGTGGGAAGGTTATCGTCCATCGTATTGCTGTGGTTCGGGGCCACAAAACAACGGTCGAGCCGCACGCGGTCGCTTGGAAACCATACCACAGCAGCACCATGGTTGCGCCCAAGCCAAGGGACGGGCAACACCAAGCCAAACGTGGTGTGGTTGGATGAGCGTCTCTACCAGAGCACATGTGTTCGACTTGCGCTGGTTCCCAGACAGGGCAAATTTTTCGTTTTTGAAAGCACGGAAGGCTCCGGGCTCCCCTGAGAAAAGACCCTGAAGAATCAGCAATCCCTCGAAAGTTTCCCTTCCTCGTCCATGTGTTTTTCCCAAAATCCGAAAACGCACATCAGCGGTTCATCACCTTAGGCGCAAGAGGCTCTTAAACGCCCAAGTCAGATGGGCAGGGACTAACAAACCTAACACTTACATCATATCTGATTGCATTCGACATCCCCACACAGAAACTAGTACCGAGCTAATAACTCAGTATGGTTATCGAAACAATACTGAAAGACCCGAATGCTCGGCCAAATCATCCGGAAATGATCCGGAAATATTTAACGCAATCCTGATGAATCAGGATTCACTGGAAAAACATACGTAATGTACCTGAGAATCAGGATGTTTACCCTGATACCGAGAGCTCTGTTCCCAGACCAGGAACGCCCTTGGTGCACGTGTGCCTGTGGTCTGTTCTGAGGCTTCCATCTCCCACCACGACCATACCTCCGGTCCGGACCGGAACATGGGCGCACAATCAGGCAAAAATGGATTCGTTGGTGCGGGAGCGTGTGAAGCGACTGGTTACTTACGCGGATCCGGGTGTTGACGTGTGGGTGGATCCTGCTTGAAATGAGGAACAAATACAGAGCCATGCAGCGGCGCGGCCCTTCAACTCATCGTACCTTTTGATTGGTTGAGAGCGATTTTAATTGGAAATGTTCGGAGTGATCCATCTGTTCGCGAACGTCGTGAACGTCGTCCGACCATCCCTGGCACGCGATGGCGGTTGGCGGAGTGGCTTCAGATGTGAGGGGCACGCGTGTCAGGCGGACACGCCGTCGGCATCCCATGCCACGCCCCCTTCTCATGGAATTGGTCCAGGGAGCTCATGAAAGCGAACCCCTGAAGCGCGTTGATTGGATGATTTCGACAAACCTTATCGCCACCTTCCACGGTTCGAAGCAGCTCCACGTGCAAAAATCGGGCTGACCAGAGGGTTCCTCTCTTGCGCTTACTGTAGCACAGCGGCCAAACAAGCGCAGACAAACCCCATGCGCGTCAAGGCAGCTGTTTCAAATTGGGAATTTGGGTTGTGGGACCGATAGAATGCCTCCAGTTTCCCCTCCTCTTCGGCAACCCCCTGGCCCCCCACTCCCTTCTGCCGCGGAACTAATATCATCTTCCTTCTGCCTTTCCCCAAATTAACTGTATCTGATCAAAGTGAGTTGAACGTTTGCTCAAAACCCTGCTGACTGGAAGTGGTGCCAGCCACTCTGCCACCCCTTGTCATCCCACCAACTTATCAGCCACTCCTCTTCAAGAGTTGTGACAAAGCATTAAGGGAACATATGTGACATAAAAAAGCTGCAAATAGATGTTTGGATTTTCATTAAGAGGACGACAAACAATATCTCCAGTAATCGTCCTCTCACCCCCCTGCCCCCAGGCAAAGGTTGTATCAAGCTCAACCAGTAGCTGGTTGCTGCTCGAAAACTCCCTCCCACCTGCAAAATAAAACGTAAATTCTATGCATACTACTCTCCCCCCTTCCCACCCCACACCCCAAAAAGAACACTATACAGAACTATAAATGCCTTGCCATCATGCCTTCCAAGGCTAGTAAGCAACCATCCCACAACTTAAGGGGACGGAAAAAGGTGAGCCGGTGCAGTCATGCCACTGGAGCCCTAAGGATCTGGTCTCTCTTAACATCCCCAGACGCCGACTGAAGCCACTGCCATGCAGAACCAGGCGCACCCAGTGCTGCATCAGCAGGTATGGACGCTGGAGGCTTCAGAGCGAAATGGTTGGACATGGGCCCAGCTGCTGCAGCCTGAAGTGCAGCGAGAGCTGCGGCAGCTGCTGCAGCTGCAGCAGCCGGAGACGAAAACCGATCCGGCGTAGGAAGTGGCAACGCTTGAAGTTGCAATTGAAGGCATTCCCGCTGCGCCTTGAGGCGGGCCTTCTCGTCCCGAAGTTCCGACTTCTCAGCCTGAAAGAAGGGAGAATAAAGATGGTTGTATCAGACAACGTACAAAACCGATGGCAATGGAGATTCAGAAGAGAAAAAAAAGCAGAAAAAAAAGCAAACAAACATATAATCGAAACAAAGAGGATCTTCAGTTTGTCTTCAGTTAAGTAAAATACCTAACAAGCCGGTTTTTTCTCACCTTGAGCTCCTTGATCTGCTCCTGGAGCTGCCATGTCCCCTGCTTGAGAGCAGCAGCCTCCGCCTTGAGACCAGTGAGCACACGAACGGCGTTGTTTAAAATTATGCCCTTGTCCGTCCGCGGGGTCGTGGTAGGATCCAGCTCTCGGCCCAGCTCAAGAAACCTGAAAAGGGGGAGGAAAAAATAAGGAAATAACATAAATGAATAAATAAACAACTTCGACGACACAAAACCGCAGATATAATCAATACACGTTAAAGGCGCGACGCAAGTGCAAGTACCCGTGAGACTTATAAAGCTATTCCGAGCGTCAATCGCGTCATGGCTTGTACCTGTCATTAAGTCGGTCGCGACGCAATTTTTCTCGTTGTGCTTTGCTGAGCCCCGCTTCTTCCAGATCATCACGCGATCTGTGAAAAAACACGACACGCACTCCGAGTCGTAAGCAATCATTCCGCCGCCGCGCCCCTTTAAAAGCGCAACCCTAGAAAATGCACAGAACTGTTAGAGAATCTCGACGAGTTCACACCTTTTCCGAGCAGGTCTCGAAGAGTCAGGGCTCTTGATCATCGGACTCATAAGTCTCACACTGCGCACAGGCAAAAGTAATTTCGACGTTAGGGACGAAACGGGCGGCGGAACTTAAGGATGGATCGGTAGAGTCTCAGCGGCTTGGAGCCACAATTGCCGCTTCACGGGACTCACTCTTCCGACGATGTTGTTTCCTGGGGTCGAGATTTCGACGGCGACGGCACTTCTCGAGCCTTGCGTTTGCCAAGTTCCAATTCTGTAACATGGGATTGCTCGAGCCAGCGCCCCGGTGGCCCGAGAGTCAAGCTCGGACCCGCGGCGCCTAGATCACTCTGAAAACGCCCTACGAGGTCAACCATTATGAGGAAATACCCAAGGGAGTGCGAGAAGCTAAGCCTTAGCTCACAGGGATTGACTCTGCGCGGCTCGAGTTTAGGTGCTCCAATCTGACAAACCCTTGGGTGAAAAAAGCCTAGAAACGAAACTGGACAAGCAAGCTTGGTGAGAAAACTCGGAACGGTAACAAACAAATTGATTCAGCCAAGCAAGATCGTCAAGAGGATGAAGCGTTGGCAAAACTCGATGTGTTGGCTTGGATGTGGGAGGAAGGGGAGGGGAGGGGAGGGGAGGGGAGGCAAGCGAAGGGGGTGGAGGGGGAAGAGGAGGGGGAAGTCTGGTCGTTGAGGCGGATGGAGTTCCGCGGTGGAGGGAGGACCTTGGCGGGACCTTTCTGCAGTGCAGTGTGGATCATGGGTTGCGTCCGCACCAGGCAAGGGATTTGCGCCAGCTCGCGCTCATGTTGTGCGCGGTGCTCTTTGTACAGTAGCTCCGGCTAAAATCGGAGCGGATTGCCTTGGTCGATGCGAGAGCAAGTGGCAGGAGTCGGCGGACCCAATCAGAACCATGCCAGCTTCGATTTTTTTCTGGACACGGGTGGGCAGGGCAGCCACTGTGGACAGTTGGGTGGCAGCCCAATCTCCCTGATTTGAACTGAACTGTTCGGGCAGACACATCTTCGTTTCAAGAGGAGTGTGCATCGCGGCCCAAGACACACCGCCAGGAAAGATATGGAGCGTGTGAGGGCGTGGTTGGTGGTGGGATTGAACGGCGGCTGGTAACGAGTGGACACGCGGGCTGCATTAAATTTGGCTGCACGTGAACTTGTCCCGCACGGGAAACGGACGGATTTCATGAAACGATTTCATGCCAAATAACCCGGTCGATACCAGGACATTCTTCCTAATTTACAGGGCTTCAATAAACTTGTACTCTGTGCATATCAGCAAGTACTCTGGACCGCGAGATACTCTGTGTGTGTGCTCAAATATTTAGCTTAATCCATTGTGTTTCTTCCACTGCGACCTCCGCAGGAGGAACTGCTTCGGGTCACTTGCAGTCCCCTTGCCTAAAAGATCCATTCATCCACGCTTTCAGCATAATGTCAAAGAGATTCAACTGCAAACACCAATGATATCACGGTGAACAAGTACAGTTGCCGTAGCCATACCGCTGTGATGCTTGAATTCTTGAGAGCTAGTACACGCTGTACGTATACATTCACATAGAACTTGAAGTTTGAAGTGGCTGGAACACACCATAACATCGTCACTGCAATGGCTTGACTGTAAACAAGCATGTGTTTGCCTGTATGAAATACTTTGTGTCTGCGATGCGATGCGACTGTCTGTGCTCTTCTTTTTTTGTGGTTGGTTTTTACTGCTGTCTCGTCTCAACCGTTTTAAGCGATGTTGTTAAGCACATTCTATCGAGCGGGGCGAACCCTGTGTTTCTCTGTGAAAGAAGCGAGCATGCAGTTGATTATTCCTCATTTTTTCTGTAAACGAGCATTACGTGTACTGGTCTGTCGAATCTTTTGTTCTTTTCCTGACAAAAGGGACGGCCCCTCGACTGGTCCCAAGGCGATTTGACCTTTCGTGTGTGCAAGAGCAAAGGTCCTTACGAACAGCTTCATTATCCGTTTATTAGATCCATTCCACACCTGGTTTGTACAGAAAGAATACCGTGTTTTTTAGGATGAAATCAACTTTACAATATAAGCATCAGCAGCAGTAACTCCGAGTGTTCCAAAACTGCTGCCTTGAAAAGATTCTCCCCAAGTGCGTCACCAAGAATTCTCCCCAAAGTCATTATGTCACTTCAACACCAACTGAGTTGCTCCTTATCGGATTACAGAAACCACTATAGCGCACTTCCATTTATATACTACTGCTGCTGGCTGGGTGCGTCCAATGTGCTCACGTTTGCTCATTAGGGCGGGTCAAACTTAGCACGTTTTCGCAGAAAACCCTACCCAACCATCTCGTGTTAGAAAAAGACCGCTCTGGATCAAGCCTTAACCTTTCTGAACCGCAATCGGACGTACTCTTTTGACCCGCCCTTACCCATCCCGACTAATCAATATACCAATTTGAACGTTGTAGAACGTGTAGCATCTCACCGAGCCGTATTCGGACGACCCCATGAAACATGTCGCTGACCTTCAAAGTTGACTAGTCGATTTCAGCCGTCCGTATGAGTCCCGTGCCCTGAGACTTGCCAAAGAACGGTCCGTATGACTCCCGTACCTACCCGCGCTTCGACGCTTTCCGACGCCGCTGACGGATCGCAAACCCTCCGCGGCTCGTCCGTGGTGCTGCAGTTCGGCGAATGGGGAGCCGACCGGTATTTAGGGAAGCGGAGCGGCGCCGATCGCGGGCGTAGAAGCAATGGTGGAGCCGATGGCGGCGGGAATGACGGAGGCGACTACCGCGATTTCCGCGATCGGGGTGGTCGACAAGGAAGAGGCGGCGAGGGAAGAGGCAGGGAAGGAGGGGGAGGCGGGGTGCTTGAGCGACCCGCTCGTTGCGGCGATTATCGCGCAAAATACGCGGGCAGAAGCGACGCGTTCGTGGTCATCGACAACGGCTCGCACCGCTGCCGAATAGGGTGGGTGCCGTCCGGGGTGGTGGGTTTTCCCTGAAGTCCGGTGTTACCGAAGATGGGTGTTAACCAGGGCAGGTGTTACCTAGGACTCGTTCGTGGTCATCGACAATGGCTCGCACCGCTGCCGAATAGGGCGGGTGCTGCACGGGGTAGGCGCGGATTAGGCGCGGGGTAGGCGCGGGTTAGGCGCGGGGTAGGCGCGGGATAGGCGCGGGGTAGGCGCGGGTTAGGCGCGGAATAGGTGCGGAATAGTCTCGGGATAGGCGTTCACTGGAGCAGGTGTTATCGAGGGTAGGTGTTACCTAGGATGGGTGGTTCCCATAGTCAACTCAGGTTACGCGAAAGGCGGAATAAGTAAGGCGGAATAAGTAAGGCGGCATTGGGAATTCCCGGTGGCGTCTGCTGCTATCTCCCTCCAATGCAACAACCCCCCTCTCCCCCTCACTCCCTTCCCCTTCCCCTCCCCCTCACCCCCACCCTCCCTCCATTCCTTTTCCCCACCATTTTTCCGCTATAGCCTCCTTTTGAGGCGCCTCAAACGGTTCCCCACCATTGTTCCAATTCTTTCGCGTCGCTATAGCCCCTCGATTCCATTCCAACCCCCCTCGCTTCGTACCTTGTCACCATTCCTCTTCTGCCGACCCCTCTCTTCGTTGCATCCCCAACCCGTCTCTCCTCTCCTCATTCCTCCCTCCCCCTCCCCCCTCCCCCGTTTCCCCCACGTCTGCCATGCGCGCAGGTGGGGCGGGGAGGCGGATCCGCGGGTGGACTTCAGGAGCGTCGTGGGGCGTCCGCGGCCTAGGAGCGGGGGTGAGCGGGGGTGAGCGGGGGTGAGCGGGGGTGAGCGGGGGTGAGCGGGGGTGAGCGGGGGTGAGCGGGGGTGAGCAGGGGTGAGCGAGGGGTGAGCAGGGGTGAGCGAGGGGTGAGCGGGGGTGAGCGGGGGTGAGCGGGGTGAGCGGGGGTGAGCGGGGGTGAGCGGGGGCGAGCGGGGGCGAGCAGGGGCGAGGGGGGATAAGCGGGGGTGAGCGGTGGGGTGAGGAGGGATGAGCGGGGGTGAGCGGGGAGGACTGGGGTGAGCGGTGGGGGTGGGAAGATGAGGGGGTAGGGGGGAACGGGGGGCCGGGGGAGAATGGGGGTGAGGGTGGACCGTGGACTGTGGAGCGGGCACGGCAGGTGGAAAAGGGGGGTGAGGATGGAGGGGCGGGAGAGTGTGAGAGGATGAGAAGTGAGAGGCTGTGCTGCGCCGCCCATTCTCGTCATCTCCTCTTCTCCTCCTCCCTCACTTCACATCACTGTACAGATTTTTTTTATAATAATAATAATAATTATTAATCATAAGTCACCCCTACCCCACCTCAACCTACTGCCAGAATGGGATGGGACGGTGGTGACAGTGGTGGGCGCCTGGGATGGGATGGGACCCCTCAGTTCCCTATGTTCCTTCACCCCACCGCCACTCCCCAGCAGCCCCCTTTCCTTGCCCATGCTGACCCATCTCCACCACACCTCACAGCCAGGCTCGCAGGTGACGGTGGTGGGCGACTGGTATCACACCCCTCCCTCCCCATGCTCGTGTCGCCTATCTCCTCGCCATCGCTCTGCACCACAACTCACTTCCATCTTCCTGCTGCAAGCCGTTTCACCCCACCACACCCCACCACACCCCACCATGCCTCACCACACCCCACCACACCCCACCGCACCCCACCACACCCCTCCACACCCCACCACACCCCTCCACGCCAGGCTCGCAGGTGACAGTGGTGGGCGACTGGGACCCCGCGTGGCCGGCGCTGAGGACGCTGGAGTTTGGGCGGCAGAGCATCCGATCGCCCTTTGAGTCCAACGTCATCTATAACTTCGAGCTCATGGAATGCGTACGTATGGCCGCCAGCCACCCACTTGCTGCCCTCGCTCCCTCGCTTCTTTCCCTCCCCTCCCCTCCCCTCCCTATCCCTCGCTCCCCCTTTGAGTCCAACGTGATTTACAACTTCGAGCTCATGGAATGCTCATGTATGGCATGGCCTTCACCAACTTCCTGTCCTCCCCCCCTCGCCCTCCCTCACTATCCCTCGATCACCCTTTGAGTCCAACCAGAGTCATCAACAACTTCGAGCGCCCATGGGATGCGTATGGCCCCCCTTTCCTTTGACCTCCACACACGACCACCCTCCCTCGCTCCTCTTCCGCCCTCTCTACCCTCTCAAATGGTCTGTTGTATTAATTCAGCAGGGGTACAGACATGCAGTTCTATCCATGATAACCTCAATCCCATAAGCCCATCAACTCACCCCTCTTCCCCTCCCCTCCCCCCTGAGTGACCCTCTAGCCCTCCAGCGTGTGGAGGATGTCCCCCAGGTGCAGCGGCCAGGGGTCCGCTGCCATCTGGGGGTGTGCTGCCTCAATCCCAGCCCTGGCCTTGGTGTGCAGGGCGTTCGCCTGGGAGCGCTGGAGGGCCACTGACCAGCGCTGGCTGAAGTGGTAGGCCATCTTCTTGGCGGATTTCGCCAAGGGGCTGGCCCTGAAGCGGTTCCTAGCTGCTGCTGTGGCCAGCAGTTTCAGGAACGCCGTCGTGGGGGGCGCGTTTGCCCCATAGGTCTCGACGGCCAGGGCGCAGAACACCACGTGTTCAGTGTGTCGGTAGTAGTCCCTCTCCTTCCGCTTCTGTGCCTCCCTTGCAGCCCAACCTGGGGGTTTGCGGGCCGTAGGGTCTCGGTTCTGCAGCACAGGGTCAGTGATCGTGGTGTCTGTGATCCAGGTCTCTCCACTGTCCGGGTCTTGTACAATCACATCTGCCTTCTTCGGGTCATCCGGAGGTGAGTACATCGCATTCTCCAGGTATACCACCAGCTGCGCCTCCCTCGCCATTTTAGCCATGGCGAAGGCCAGCTGGTTGTGTGTGCGCGTCCTGTTGGGGCCTGTGCTGCAGCGGAGTAAGTGGTTGGGTAGGCTGCAGTCGGCTACGAGTTCTCCGCACTCGCACACGGTTGGTACATTCTGTCGGATGCCCATGCGGAAGGCCAGGGCCGCTCGGAACTGTCCCGGTGAGAAGCAGAGGTCCGGGGTCAATCAAGGGTAGTGCCTGCAGCCACGCTCCCGCTCCCTCTCCTCTCAGGCTGACTAGGCGGAGTGTGTGGCCCATCTCGGGGGCTGACTGTATTGCGCGTGACTCCTCTCTTAGGGCGTCAGCCTTTGCCGCGTGCACTTCCTGGGAGAGGGCGCGCTGCAGCTGGTCCTGGGACGGGGTTTGCTGCTCCTCCCGTAGGTTTTGTAGCGCCAGCGGTGGCAGTCGCCCCTCCATGTCCTGGATGGTCACGGAGTGCGCTGCAGACGGCTGCAGGGCGTTGCTGTCGGCCCCTAGCGGCGCGGTTGCCGGTAAGTCCAGGGAGCGGAGCAGGCGCAGCGCCTCTGTTGTAGATGCCAGGTAGGCCGGTGCTGCTTCAGTTGTGGGGTCCGTAAGGCCCAGTCCGCCTAGGGCTACTGGGAGAGTTGCCTGTCGGAGAAGGAAGTTGAACTCGGCTTGTCGGCGTGGCGGTTGAATGCTGGCGGCGGTCAAGGCAGTGTTCAGTAATTCGGCGCACCATGTGTGCCATTCCGAGAGCGGTAAGACGTCAGCTGGGGTAGTGCGCAGCAGGTAGCCGACTCTGCGGCTGATGCAACGAGACAGTAGCAGGAGGGCGTGTTGTGGGTGGATGGACGCCAGAGAGCCCAAGGGGGCTGCCGCGTCCGTCAGGGTGCTGCGGACAAAATCAGAGCAGAAGCTCTGCGACCCCACTGGACTTCCCAACACCCGCACCCCCTCGCGGGTGAGGGGAAGGCCCTCGGGGAGTACGTCCCCTCCTAGCGGCACGGTGGACCACGCCGACGACTTCCTAAAGTTGCAGGTGAGACCGTCCCGTGCCAGCAGCGGCGTGAGCTCCCTGAGCGCTTCCAGCGTCGCCGCCGCGGGTCCAATCATGGTTATGTCGTCCGCGTAAGCGAGGACCGTGACTTCGGGGTGCTCCGTTGCTACGTGCCTGAGGTGCTGCTGGATAGACGCTGCGAATAACAGAGGTCCGAGGGGATCCCCCTGTCTGACTCCCCTTCCGCTGGTGAGTGCCGTGGAATTGAAGCATGGGTCCAGCAGCAGTGGTGAAGATGCTGCGTAGAAAGAGCATGTGAAGGGGATTAGGGGAGCTAGTGGGGAGCCGATGAGTGCGTTGAAGAACGCGCTCCTCTCTACTGAGTTGAACGCGTTCTCAATGTCGAGCTGGAGTACTAGGCTGGAGGGCTGCACCGTGGTGAGGTCTCGGACAGCATGGATGACAAATTCTGCACCTCCAAGGACTGCCACGCCAAATTGCTGAGGTAGGAAAAAATTTCGCGTTTCTCCTTGCAGATCTGAGAGCGCCACCTTAGCCGCCAGCCTAAGCAATGACTCTCCAATCGCAATGGGACGTACCCCCCCCCCTGGTTTGGCGAAGGCTATAAGGCGGGACGGGGCAAGTAGTGCTGCGACTTAAGTGGAAAGATTTTCAGCGCTAACTGAAAGAATGAGAGATGGAGAGGCCGCCGTGACCTTAAGTAGTCATGGCAGAGGGCAGAAAGCAGAGGGCAGAGGGTAGAAGGGGAGAGGCTAATCCTCTCTCTCTCTACCCTCTCTCTCTCTCTCTCTCTCTCTCTCTCTCTCTCTCTCTCTCTCTCTCTCTCTCTCTCTCTCTCTCTCTCTCTCTCTCGAACGGTCCTTGGTATTAATGTCAGCAAGGTACACGCATGGTAAGGCTACAGCAATCTCGCAGCAAGGCTACAGCAAAACAACAGCTAACCCCGCAATACCCCAGCCCCAGCCCCCCCCTCCCCGCCCGGCCCTAATGGCCGGAGGGGTCTTCTATCAACTGATACAGCTGCCCCTCGCTCATTGGGGTCTTCTCTCTCTCTCTCTCTCTCTCTCTCTCTCTCTCTCTCTCTCTCTCTCTCTCTCTCTCTCTCTCTCTCTCTCTCTCTCTCTCTCTCGCTGGCCCTTTTGAGTTTAACGTCATCTATAGCTTCTCCTCCCTCTCGCCCTTTGAGCTCATGGAATGCGTTTGTATGCCTCTCGCTTGCTGCTCTTCCTCCCCTCCCCCCTCCGCCCCCTCCACCCTCGCCCTCCCCCCTCGACCTATGCTGTCCCCTCCAACCCCAACCCTCTTGCTGCAGGGTGTTTTTGAGAATTCTCAAAAGCACCCCAACCCAACCCTCTTGCAATAGATGGAACACTATCTATCTTCCTACAGCGCTGCGATTGCCATATGTTTGTGATCAACCCCCTTCTTCTCCTCTCAACTCTTGTCCTCGATCCCGCGGTCGTCCCTTTCGTTTACAAATTCCTTCACGTGCTTTGAGTCGCCTTTTGAGTCGACTCAAAAGACAAATTCCTTCACGTGCTTTGAGTCGCCTTTTGAGTCGACTCAAAAGACAAATTCCTTCACGTGCTTTGAGTCGCCTTTTGAGTTGACTCAAAAGACAAATTCCTTCACGTGCTTTGAGTCGCCTTTTGAGTCGACTCAAAAGACAAATTCCTTCACGTGCTTTGAGTCGCCTTTTGAGTTGACTCAAAAGACAACTTCCTTCACGTGCTTTGAGTCGCCCCAAAACGCATCACCTCCCTCACCCTCTCCCCCTTTACTTCTGCGTCCATTCCCCCTCCCCTCCCCTCCCCTCCCCTCCCCTCCCCTTCCCCCCCGCCCCTCTTTTCATGATTTTCCTCCTTACTTCGCAGATCTTTGATTACGCTTTTGATCGATTGGGGGTGGAAGGCGGTGGCAGGGTAAACCACCCTGTGTTATTAACCGAGGCTCCGTGTGCGCCCCTGTACACGCGTGGCAAGACAGCAGAACTCATGTTTGAAACCTACGGCGTGCCTGCCCTTGGTAAGACAATACATACAGTTGTAGCATCCCTGCCGTGGAGTGGTGTGGAGTGGTGTGGTGTGGTGTGGTGTGGTGTGGTGTGGTGTGGTGTGGTGTGGTGTTGTGTGGAGGGGTGGGGAGTGAGATGGGGCGTTTCGTGCGTGGGTGTTTGGAGAGTGTTCTGGTGTCCGTCTGTTGCTAGAGGTGTGTCAGCTTGTGTGCTTTGCCAGGGCGTCACTTGGATATCATGTCATGTCTTGTCACACCATGTCCCACCTGCCTTGCTTACCATTCAACCTCGCCTTGCATTGCTCAACTTTTACTCCTCTCCACTCCTCTCCAATCTTCCGCTCCCCTCCCGTCCTCAATCCTTCCACACTCATGTTTCACTGAAAGCGTCTCCAGTGGTCTCATACCCTTTTCTCCAATGAGCCTCATTCATACCCTCATCTCGTCTCCAATGCTCCACTCGCATCTCATGCCATCCCATCCCACCCCTCTCCACCGCATCGGCTGCCCTGCACCCTTGCAGCATTCGGAGTGGATGGGGTGTTCAGCTATCGCCTCAACACCGCACAGCACCACTCTGTGCCGGACGGTCTGCTGGTCAACTGCGGCCACTCCACCACTCATGTCATGCCCGTGTGCTCCTGCTGCCCTCTCTCCACTCTCTCACCCTGTATTTCTCACTCTCCTGCACTCTCTCTTTTGCTCCCTCAACCCCCCTCTCTTGCTCTTGCACCTCCCCTATCTCGCTCGCTCCCTCACCCCTCCTCTGCTTCGTTGCCAACTTCCCAGCTGGGCTGGCGTGTGGTCATTTTTGGGTGGACTGAGGAATCAGCTCACAGAGGCTCGTGACTCAGATTCACAGAGGCTCGTGACTCAGATTCACAGAGGCTCGTGACTCAGATTCACAGAGGCTCGTGACTCAGATTCACAGAGGCTCGTGACTCAGATTCACAGAGGCTCGTGACTCAGATTCACAGAGGCTCGTGACTCAGATTCACAGAGGCTCGTGACTCAGATTCACAGAGGCTCGTGACTCAGATTCACAGAGGCTCGTGACTCAGATTCACAGAGGCTCGTGACTCAGATTCACAGAGGCTCGTGACTCAGATTCACAGAGGCTCGTGACTCAGATTCACAGAGGCTCGTGACTCAGATTCACAGAGGCTCGTGACTCAGATTCACAGAGGCTCGTGACTCAGATTCACAGAGGCTCGTGACTCAGATTCACAGAGGCTCGTGACTCAGATTCACAGAGGCTCGTGACTCAGATTCACAGAGGCTCGTGACTCAGATTCACAGAGGCTCGTGACTCAGATTCACAGAGGCTCGTGACTCAGATTCACAGAGGCTCGTGACTCAGATTCACAGAGGCTCGTGACTCAGATTCACAGAGGCTCGTGACTCAGATTCACAGAGGCTCGTGACTCAGATTCACAGAGGCTCGTGACTCAGATTCACAGAGGCTCGTGACTCAGATTCACAGAGGCTCGTGACTCAGATTCACAGAGGCTCGTGACTCAGATTCACAGAGGCTCGTGACTCAGATTCACAGAGGCTCGTGACTCAGATTCACAGAGGCTCGTGACTCAGATTCACAGAGGCTCGTGACTCAGATTCACAGAGGCTCGTGACTCAGATTCACAGAGGCTCGTGACTCAGATTCACAGAGGCTCGTGACTCAGATTCACAGAGGCTCGTGACTCAGATTCACAGAGGCTCGTGACTCAGATTCACAGAGGCTCGTGACTCAGATTCACAGAGGCTCGTGACTCAGATTCACAGAGGCTCGTGACTCAGATTCACAGAGGCTCGTGACTCAGATTCACAGCTTGTGACCCTGGCTGGACCACTTGCTCTGCCTGCCTGCATGCATGCATGCATGCATGCATGCTTGCTTGCTTGCTTGCTATATCGTGTTTTTTTCTGCTGCCATCAAGAACAAATCGTGCATTACCATGTGGCTCCATGTGCAGGCAGATGATCGCAGGGCAGCCTCTGCTGGACGCCACGTGTCGCATTCCCGTTGGCGGATGGCACGTCACTGACTACCTGAAACGCCTTCTCACTCTGCTCTATCCTCAACACACGTACGTGCCCCACAGCTCAGGCGAGGCACCTCTGTCCCCTCTTCACTGCCTTCTTATCTCACCTCCCCCGTCCCCACCTCCACCCCACCCCTCTCCCTCACCCCACCCTTCATTTGTCCTTCGATTGTTTTTCCTTTTTTTTTTTTACATTCTTCCTCTGCTTGAGGTGATATCCTCATGGCATGTCAATCCGTGCACCACTCTGTACCTTTTTGCAACGCTTTGTGGTCGCACCGCACACAGTGTTTCATCAATCGTTGGCAGGTCACAGGAGTGCATTGTGTGCCGGTTTCAAACACGGTCTTGTATGACCTGATCCCAGCTTTCATGGCAAAATGTTTCATTCACACACAAACTCATACACACAGTCGCACAGGCACACAAACACACGCGCGCACGCACACGGACGGACACACACACATGCATGCACGCACTCTCTCACAGGCATGCAAACACACTGTCATGCCACATCAACCTCTCATGCCATGTCACTCTGTCATGCCACGTCACTCTGTCATGCCACATCACACATGTCACCACAGATCTGTAATAACGTGGGAGAGAGCAGAGGAGATGAAGTGCATGAGTGTGTATGCAGCCATTGATTACTCGCAGGAATTGAAGGCATTCCAGGTGAGTGACCATCAGGTAAATGTCAAGGCGCCTAAATATCTGACATTCATGCATGGGATGGGAGAGCAAGTAGATGAAGTGCAGGAGTGTGTATGCAGCCATTGACTACTCGCAAGAAGTGAAGGCATTCCAGGTGAGACAGTTGTGCACGGTTGTGCACGGTTGTGCACGGTTGTGCATGGTTGTGCATGGTTGTGGACGGTTGTGGAGGGTGGGACGGTCATTCGTTGAGTGACACTCAAATGACCCTGGAGGTTCGTTCTAATGACTCTTCAGTAACGACAGCATGCATGCACATGTCACATCCATCCTGTCCCGTCATGCACATGTCACATCCATCCTGTCCCGCCATGCACATGCCCATCTTTGCGTGTTCCATGCACACACAATTGCACGCTTGCTCCGACAGCAAGCATGCCTGGAAACGAAGACACCCTTCAGAACCTGCAATAGCAGCCATTAAAGCCCTTTATACTCCCTCCCTTACCCTCCCTCCATCCCATCAACCCCTCCTCCACCCAGTCCCCAAACGCCCCGGTAGTTTCCTGGCAGCTTCCGTGGGTGGCGCCCGTGCCCCCCCAGGGCCCGTCAGAGGAGGAGGTGGCGAGGCGGGCGGCCAGCAAGGAGCGCGCGGGGCAGCGTCTAAGAGATAAGAGACATGGCATACCCGTGCTGCCGTGCAGCAAGGAGCGCGCATGGCATACCCGTGCTGCCGTGCACTTACACACCCTCCCTCTTTGAGCCCACTCAAAAACCACCACAACCCACACATCTTCCCCTCCCTTCCCTCCCTCCACACCCCCTCACCTCCTCCCCACCCCCCACACCACACAGTCTCCAGACCCCCCAGTAGTTTCCTGGCAGCTGCCGTGGGTGGCGCCCGTGGCCCCACAGGGCCCGTCAGAGGAGGAGGTGGCGAGGCGGGCGGCCAACAAGGAGCGCGCGGGGCAGCGGCTGCGAGACATGGCGGCTGCTAAGCGGGCGGCGAAGCGGGCGGCGGAGCTGGAGGAGGTGGAGGGCGAGGTGGAGGGGTTGAGAGCGGTGATCGAAGATGTGGAGGACGGGGCGGAAGGGAGAGAGGCGATCATGGTGAGTGTTTGAGATCAGCCGTATGATTCTCAATTGAGGAGCTTCTCCGTGCTCTTCGTCTCAATAAAAAGCACTAGCTCGTCACGTATGGAAAAGACTTTTGAGGCGACTTTTGAGGCGCCTCAAGATTCGTCTCAATGAAGAGAGAGCACCAGCCAGTCACGTATGGAGAAGCTCCTGTTTTGCGACGTCTCAAAAGTAGTAGTTGCCAGTTACATCTGACTGAAGCCTCGCTTTGTCTCACCCCACCGACCCTCCGCCCTCCCTTCTCCTTCCCTTCCCCCCGCCTCCAACATCCCATTACCCTCTCCTCTCTCCCCTCTGCCTCCTCTCTCCCGTCTGCCTCCTCCCTTTCCTCCGTCCTCCCTCCCCCCTCTCTCCTCTCTCTCCCCACACCTTCAGTTGCTCTCCCGTGTGCGCTGTGCCACCCTGTCAGAAGCTCGAGCCAAGCTTGCCAAGAGCATGGCCACTCTCAGGAGACTGAGGGGGGAGGAGGGCGAGGGGGAGGGCGAGGAGGGCGAGGGTGAAGGGGAGGAGGGGGAGACGGGGTCAGTGGCTGGTGGAGCAGAGGAGCAGGATGAGTCGGTGCTTTACCCGCTGCTTGATATCCCGGATGCAGATCTGACGGCTGAGGAGGTGAGAGGAGAGAGGAGGTGAGGGTAGAGGGGAGGTGAAAAAAGAGCTGATGTGAGTAACTTCGAATCGACTCAAAGGAGGAGCAGGATGAGCCGCTGCTGTACCCTCTGCTTGATATCCCGGATGCAGATCTGACGGCTGAGGAGGTGAGAGGAGAGAGGAGGTGAGGGTAGAGGGGAGGTGAAAAAAGAGCTGATGTGAGTAACTTCGAATCGACTCAAAGGAGGAGCAGGATGAGTCGGTGCTGTACCGTCTGCTTGATGTCCTAGATACAGAACTGACGGTCGAGGAGGTGAGAGAGGAGTGACCTGGCAAGCAAAGGAGGTAAGGTGGTGCAGTGAGAGTCGACTCATAGGAGCAGGATGAGTTGGTGCTGTACCGTACCCTCTGCTTGATATCCCGGATGCAGAACTGACAGCCGAGGAGGTGTGAGGAGGGGTTTGAGAGCAGACGAGGTGGGAGGAGAAGTTGGGGCGCAGAGGTGGTGAGTTGGCTCAATCAACAGAGCAGGATGAGTCAGTGGTGTACCACCGACAGGTGCAGCTGGATGTCCCGGATGCAGAACTGACAGTAGAGGAGGTGAGGGGAATGAGGGCAGGCCGAGGAGGTGAGCAAAACGAATGCCCTTCCGTTTCTCATCTTGCTGCTCACTCCTCCTTTCTCCTCTCTTTTCGTGGTCCTGTAGGGTCCTCCTTTCTCCTCACTTTTCGTGGTCCTGTAGGGTTCTCCCTCCCTCTTTTCCTGCATCCTCGATTCATCTCTCCATACCTTCTCATCCCTCCACCCTCTAGTCTTTCCGTTCTGGGATATCTATTAGCTTTTTTCTCACCCTTTTCTGCATTCGGCTTTGCATGGCAGCTGAGGGAGAAGCGGCGGCAGCGGACGATGCGAGGGATTGCGCTGGGGCAGGCGAGGATGCGACAGGCAGCAGAGGAGAAGCGAGCTAAGGCGGCTGCTGAGAGGGATGAAGAGGAGCGGAAGAGAAGGTGAGGCGAGCGGATGGGCAGGATTTAGGCCGTATTTCTGAGGTGCCTCAAATATTGCGCTGGGGAGGAGGGAGGATGGAAACAGGGCCGGGGATGAGCCAAGTGCGGAAGAGAGAGAGGGAGCACTGGTGAGAAGCTTTGCAGGCCTATTTCTGAGGCGCCTCGAACATTGCGCTGGGGAGGAGGGAGGATGGAAACAGGGAGTTTTCGAGAATTCTCAAAAACTCCCTTCAAGATTGCGCTGGGGAGGAGGGAGGAGGTGAAACAGGGCCGGGGATGAACCAAGTGGGAAAGAGGGAGATGGAGCACTGGTGAGAAGCTTGGGCAGGCGTTGCAGATTAGATTAGATTGCTGCATGCAGCAGGGCTGGGGGGATCCGATCCTATTCACCAACTTCACTTGTGTGTCTCCTCCTTGCGTTGGCTTCTGCTAGAGGCGTATGCAGCGGAGCTGAGGGCGCGGTGTCAGCAGCTGCAGGCGGCCTTGGAGCAGAGGAAGCGGAGGGATGGTTGACGGCTTGGTCCCTCAGTGTGCTCCCGTCTGCTTCTTGCTTGTTGCTTCTCGTTTCCATTCCAGGGAGAACCCAGAGGCATATGCAGCAGAGCTGCAGGCGCGGTTCCGACAGCTGCAGGCGCCACTGGAGCAGAGGTAGCGGAGGGATGGTTAACAGCTTGGTCCCTCAGTGTGCTCCCGTCTGCTTGTTGCTTCTTGCTTCTCGTTTCCATTGCAGGGAGAACCCAGAGGCATATGCAGCAGAGTTGAAGGCGCGATTCCAACAGGTGCAGGCGGCCTTGGAGCAGAGGAAGCGGAGGAAGCTGGGAGCAGGGGGCGTGGTTCTTGGTGCCGCTGCGGCGTCGCCTTCAGTGGGAGGGGAAGAGTCTGGTGGGAAGGGCATGGGATCGGAAGGAGGTGCCAGTGGGGGAGAAGCGGTAGGAGGAGGTGGGGCAGCGGGAGCGGCAACAGGGGCAGCAGGAGGAGCAGCAGGAGCAACGGCAGCGAGTGCAGCAGGAGCAGGAGGAGGGGTTTCAGGAGGAGGGGTTTCAGGCTCCGCTGTCTCGTCTGTGCTCTCTCTCGCAGCGGCGGCAGCAGCGGCCGCGTCAGGCCAGGCTGTGAAGGGCGCCAAGCTAGACATCACCCCCCTGGGGGGCCCTGCTGGTGGCCTTGCAGGGGGCACTGGCGTGGGGCTGGGAGGGGGCCTTGCTGGTAGTGTGGCTGGTGGGAGAACGGAGCGGATTACTGCTGCGCACAGGGAGAGGATGAAGCTTCTGACTGCTGCTGCTTTTGAGAGTAAGAAAGGGCGGAGAGGCGCGGGCGGAGGGAAGGGAGGAGGAGGGGGAGGGGGTGGAGGAGGGGGTGGAGGAGGGAGGAAAGGAGGAGGGGGAGCAGGGGAGGAGGATGATTTTGGGATGAGGGACGAGGACTGGCTGGTGTATAAGCGGATGAGCGCGAAGGGTGTGGAGGAGGAAGAGGAGGAGGAGGCGGAGAGGGAGGCAGCAGAGCTGGAGAAGCTGAGAAGCAGACTGCAGGTGAGGGTGGGGGTTGGGTGCAGGTGAGTGAAAGGCTGCAGGTGATTTTGGGATGTTTGACGAGGACTGGCTGGTGTATAAGAGGATGAGCGCTAAGGGCGTGGAGGAGGAAGAGGAGGAGGAGGCGGAGAGGGAGGCAGCAGAGCTGGAGAAGCTGAGAGCCAGGCTGCAGGTGAGAGTGAGGGCTGTCAGCAGGTGCAATTCAGGGTGGGGTGAAGGTGAGGTTGGGTGCAGGTGAGGGGGGGTGCAGGTGAGGCAATGTGCAGGAATGGTGAAGGAAGTGGGCACGAGATAGGGGATTCACTGGGGTGACGGTGTAGGTGCAGTGTGCATGTGATGTGGCCTAGTTCCATGCTTTTTCCACTACGAGTTTTACAGGGAAACGGTCATTCCCATCCCCTATTTGTCCCCCATTCCCCATTCCCCATTCGCCCCCGACGGCCCCCTGTCTCTCTCAGGAGGTGGACCCAGCCTTCCTAGTCTCCATCAATGCCGCGCCTGCTTCAACCACAGCTCCAGGCACGGCTACCAGCGTTCCCGGACCTTCGGTTCGGCAGCCCACCGACGCAGACTATCAGATCCGGCTCGGCGTGGAGCGCGTCCGGGCAGCTGAAATTATTTTCGAGCCGTCTCTGATTGGGCTGGACCGGGCAGGCTTGGGCGAAAGTTTGGGTGCAGCTGTGAGAAGAACGGCCGAGGAGCTAAGGAGCAGACTAGTCCCGTTGTATTCTAGAACCAAGTCAGCTAGTGGTGCTTTTGCGGTTGCCACTGCTGTTTCGGGCATGGAAAACGTTCCGCCGAGCTTTCTCTTCCTGACCGGAGGAAGTTCGCTGCTGCCCGGAATGAGGGGCAGGTTGGAGGCGGAGTATCGGCAGGTGCTGCCAATGGGGAGTGGGATAAAGATTGTGGAAGCCCGGGATGTGTTCTGGGATGCGTGGAGGGGAGCGGCAGCCATGGCTGGGGATGGGAGGAGATTGCTGCGGCAGGCTGTGAGTCGGAAGGAGTATGAGGAGCGTGGGCCGGATGCGTTTCGACGGTATAAGTTTGAGTACTTCTGAGATGTGGTTTTGAATGCGATCAACACTGTGAGTAAATCTGGCTAAATTGGCAGTAACGATTATGCTTAATGATTACCATTTACGCCTTGAAACTTGATGAAGCGTGGCTTCAGTGACAAACGGGTACAACTTTCCCCCACTCTACAATCTGTCGGGACCACACGCTGTAACGGGTCTGCTAAAGCGAAGAAGTGCACCCAACCTGTGTTCTTGGGAACACCAACACAACACACCTCCCTCCCCAAACCCAACCCGATCAAATGAACCTCGAGAGAATACTTGTGCCTGTACTTGTCGCGCAGACTTCAATTCCCATCTATTATACTGCCACCGCAACTACGGCATTCCTTTACCCATTCTTTCCGCGCTCTCGAGTTCCCATTACCTGAGGTTCCATATCCCCTCGTCTGTCGCGTCGCGACTTATGTGATGACGTTTCTCGACCGGCGTTAGTCCCGTGTTCGTTGCAACTCTCGGCTCACGCTAAGTGATCAGCAGCATTGCGTCACGGTTCTTTGACTGGGAGTGTTGGACTCGCGCCGCGTGCCCATTTGCGGCGCGCAGCGACGTGCGCGTCTCGTGCGACTCTCCCTAGATACCGACTGCCAAAATAGTAATTTGCTTCAGCCGTTGCCGTGAATCTTAGTATTCTAGAAACCATCTGCCATACCTTCTCCGGCTGGTTACGCCAGCTTGTAGCACCCCGGGAACTGAAACGCTGGGGCGATTCGGGGGATCACGATGGATCGCAGCGCCGGGTTCGTTTAAGCCCTGCGGAAATCCGCACACGCTCGTTAGCCCGAATCACTCCAAGAATCAGCTCGCCGCGTTTATTTCACTTGCATACTCTTCGAGGATGCACCGATTTCAATCATGCAGCAGCCGCATATGCCTCCCTCTTGGAGGGGAGCGAAATCGTTACCAAACGATTTAGAGGGATTTGGATTCTAGACACGGATTCTAGGCTCTGAGAGTCAGCGATTCTGAAATTCCGACATTCCCAGCAGTCTGAAATCTTCATGCTAAAAGATTCTGAGTCAAAGGAGCTGTCATCAGCTGATAGCTCGGGTAGTGTCCAGCGTTTAATTTGCCGCGGATCATCGATTAAGTCTCCTACGAAGTAGCTCGATTCCTGATTGGCCACCTCTTGACGCTCCTTCGATGAGAGAATAATCTTGATTCATGATCTTCCTCATCTCCGCCTGCCATGGCGGTGAGGGTGGCTAAGAAACCTGCGAGTTGATCTCCTTGAGACGGATTTTAAAGATTTTTAGGAATCTGCCATGGCGGTGAAGGTAGCCAAGAAACGCGCTCCTATTCGGAAGCGAGCCAGCGGCGGGGGGATCGCGGGCGATGGACTTAGCAGCGCGTTTGGCGAAAGCAGCACCACGCGGCTGCTGCTGTTGATAGGAGGCGCCGCGTTTCTAGTGTGGATTCTGAACCACAGGTCGTTTCTCAGAACGTCGTCATATCCGTCAGAAGAGTCGTTCCTTAACAGTCACAGAAGAAGAGGGGGGTCACGGGAGGCGGAACCGTGGGGTTCAGATGACGGGAGAATGCTTCAGAGCCGTGACTATAACGGGAGAGGAGGGGCGTACGGTGGTAGAGGTGGCTACTATGAAGGATCAACAGTGGGGAATTCGGTAGATCAACGATCAGGAGGTGCTGTAGCTGGGGGGTTTGGGGCAGCCGGAATGGGAGCGGCTGGGGAGATTGGGGGAGGGGAAATGGGGGCAGGTGGCAATCCCAGGTTACACCACGTGGACTCGCCAGGAGCGACAGCTGGCACGTTGGCACGGGGAGGAGAGGATCGCTCGGATGGAGAGCGGTTGGGGTTGGGCGGAAGGGGGGAAGGGGGCGGAAGGGGGGAAGGGGGTGGGGATGCGATCCTGCAGCAACGGTTCTCGGATTCGACTCAGTCTGGCCCGGAAATCGTCAATATGAGGAGCAGCTCCAGCAGCGGCGGCGGCGGCAGCAGTGGTTATGGTGGCATGGGGGACAGCTACAGTAGCAGCGGTAGCAGTGACAGCAGCAGTGGCAGTAGTGATAGTGGCAGTGGTTGGAGTGGCAGCAGCAGTGACAGCAGCAGCAGCAGCAGCAGCAGCAGCAGCAGCAGTGGCATCAGTGACGGCAGGGATGGTGACAGCAGCACCACTAGCCACAGCGCATCATCCGCACCCAACCCTCTGAAACCAACCAAACCCCGGACCTTGCATCCAGGTCCGGCAGCCCGGTGGGCACCAATCAACGGCAGCTTCGTCCTCTCCTGGATCCCTCCTTCCAAGTCTCGGCTCCAGACCAACATCTCCCAACCGGAGCTCTACCCGGTCCTCTTAGACGTGATTCGTTACAACGAAGAGGCGCAACTCACCGCCGCTAAAGCGGGTCTGGAGCCTCCCAAGGCGTCCAGAGGGCCGGCTTGCCCGGTGTTTGAGTTTGGGTTCGAGCGGTTCCCTGGGATTGGGTCGTGCTGGGAGGCAGGGATCGCGGATGAGAAGCGGGCGGCCACGCGGCCTCCTGTGAACTGCAAGGGCGTGGACCCGACGTGTATCCAGAAGAATGATTTGCTGCCGCATAACAAGTGGTCCGCTCAGGTGGGTAGGAGGGATGGATGGAGGGCTGGGTGAGGAGTTTTGTGAACTGCAAGGGCGTGGACCCGGCGTGCATTCACAAGAATGACCTGCTGCCGCACAACAAGTGATCCGCTCAGGTGGGTGCTGAGGAGGAAGGGATGGAGGGAGGCGGGGGATGGGGGACAAGGGGGGAATGGGAATGGGGTTGGCTGGGTGAGGTGCTCTGTGAATTGCAAGGAGGTGGACCCGACGTGCATTCAGAAGAATGACCTGGAGTGGCTGCTGATCCTCCTCGCATATCTATGCATGTATCTTCTTCTCATTCCCTCCTCCCCCCCCTTCTTTTTCCACGCCCACCAGTTCCTCGTGCTGCGCAGCGTGTACTTAAACGTGGTTGGGCAGGTGTTCAACTCAACGCACAGCTTCGACTCCCTTCCTTTCCCCCCCCGCCCCCCCCCTTCTTCCCCCACCCCCACCAGTTCCCCGTGCTGCGCAGCGTGTACTTAAACGTGGGCATGTGCTTAACTCACAACACATCTTCATTCCCCTCTGCAATCCCATGCGGGGCTGCCCCCAATCATGCATCCCCCACTCCCTCCCGCTCCAAACAGGTGCTGGTGCTGTGCAGCATGTACATAAACGTGGTGGGCCAGGTGTTCAACTCCACGCACATCTTCAACCCCCTTCCTTTCCCCCCCGCCCGCCCACCCCTTTCCCCACCCCCACAGGTCCTAGTTCTGCGCAACGTGTACATAAACGTGGTGGGCCAGGTGTTCAACTCCACCCATCTCTTTGACCACAACGCGTGTGCGGGCAGTCCCAACATCACCGTGACGCTGCCCTTCCGCTACACCGCCAACCGCACACGCGTCACCCACTTCAAAGAGCTTGTCTCCCTCGTCGACTGGTTCGCCTGGTCCACGCGCGCCATGCTGCTCGACCTCATACCGCTCTTCATCTCTCTGCACCGCATTCTGCCGGCTATGAGGGGCGTACCAGTGGCGGTGGGGCACAGGCGGCCGCATGTGAGGAACGGATTGGAGCAGCTGTGCTCGCTGGGGGCGGTGGACGTGCTGGGCGTGCAGGTGGACAAAATGAACGTGCACGTGGTGAAGTCGAAAGACCTGTTCTTTGCAGAGAAACTTGTCATTGTGAGTGGGGGTTGGGGGTGGCCTGGGTGGGTGTGGGGGAGCATGCATGGCATGGGGGAGGCGGTGGATGTGCTGGGCGTGCAGGTGGATGAAGAAGTGTTTTGAGACGGTGGAGGCGGTGGATGTCCGTCTCAAAACACGGGGGCGGCGGTGGATGCCCGTCTCAAAACACGGGGGAGGCGGTGGATGTGCTGGGCGTGCAGGTGGACGAAATGAACGTGCACGTGGTGAAGGCCAAGGACCTGTTCTTCGCTGAAAAGCTTGTCATTGTGAGTGGGGTGCAAAGGGGAAGGGAAGACGGGAGGGGATGGGAGGGTGTTTTGAGGTGCCTCAACAGGTGGTCATTGAAAGTGCGGGTGGACAGAATGAACGTGCACGTGGTCAAGTCCAAGGAACTGTTCTTTGCAGAGAAACTCGTCATTGTGAGTGGGTTGCGAAGGGGAAGGGGAGAAGGGAGAGGGTGTGGTTGAGTTCCTGCGAAAAGTTGGTGCCTGGGAGTGGTGGATGGGCTGGGAGTGGTGGATCGGCTGGGAGTGGTGGATGTGCTGGGAGTGGTGGATGTGCTGGGAGTGGTGGATGTGCTGGGAGTGGTGGATGTGCTGGGAGTGGTGGATGTGCTGGGAGTGGTGGATGGGCTGGGAGTGGTGGATGGGCTGGGAGTGGTGGATGGGCTGGGAGTGGTGGATGGGCTGGGAGTGGTGGATGGGCTGGGAGTGGTGGATGGGCTGGGAGTGGTGGATGGGCTGGGAGTGGAGGATGGGCTGGGAGTGGAGGATGGGCAGGGAGTGGTGGATGGGCAGGGAGTGGAGGATGGGCAGGGAGTGCAAGGGGACAGGATGAGCGTGAGTGTGGTCGAGGCTCACAATCTTCATTCTTTTTCGCTGAGAAGCTCGTCATTGTGAGTGGAAGTGGCTTTCCCTGGCACCCTGCCTCCCCCTTCTTTCATTTCCCCCCTTCCTTCCCCACGCTACTCCCCTGTTTCGCTCCCTTCCGCATCATCTCACCCCATCCCTCCCCTGTCTCCCCTCCCTTTGCCTCCCCTTCCTCCAATCCCCTCACCTCCCCTCCGTCCCCTCCTGTCCCGTCCGCTCCCCTCCCCTCCGTTCCTCTCCCCTCCCCTCTCCTCCCTTTCCCAGCCACTGCACCAGCGGTGTGGGGAGCCCAGCCGCTCGCTTTGGCACTATCTGCGAATGAGACACTTGCTGCCGCCCGGGGGGCTGCCCATCTTTAATGCTGGTACGAGCAGGGCGAGTGAAGGGAGGGGGGGGGCTTCCACTGAAAAAAGGCGCGCAAAGAGAAAGGGGGAGGGGTGGGAGGGTGGGGTGGGGGGGATGGGGGGGCGGGGAATCGAGGAGAGAGGAGGTGGAGGCTACAGGCTAGGGGTGGGGGGGCTTGTGGGCATGGCAGGTGTGGTTTTTGGGGTGACCATGGTGGTGGAGTTGGGTGGGGTGAAGGTGTCAGACGCAGGATCTGAGGATGAGGTGTGTTTTGAGTCGACTCAAAACAGGTGTGGTTTTGGGGTGACCATGGTGGTGGAGTTGGGCGGGGTGAAGGTTTCAGATTCAGGATATGAGGATGAGGGGTGTTTGGCCTGTAAGGTAACGACACTCTAGACTATCTACGTTGAACATCATTCCCTTCAATCCCAGACCTTGAGATGATGATCCTTTCCTGTTGAGCCACTTCAGGAAAGTGCTCAAAACATAAACACTTATTTCACACCACATCCCACGTGCGTGCGCCATCCCACCAGACTGGACGTCCAGGTTCAAGGGACCTGCCACCCCAGCCAACACACCATGCGCCTATGCTACCGAGAAGGCTCCATCTCCCCCCCCCTCAACCACGTGCTCTTCCCCGCCCCTCTCCTCTCCCCACCAGACTGGACGTCCAGGTTCAAGGGACCTGCCAGTGCCACCCCGGCCTACACACCACGCGCATACGCGCCCGGCAGCAACTGGGTGGTGCTGCTGGGGTGGAAGGAGCAGCGCGCATCCCTCCTGCAGAGCCTCAAGCTACACGAGCACCTCACCCGCCTCTTCCCCCCCGAGCGAGTCGTCATCTACCGGGAAGGCTCCATCTCCCTCCCCCGCCGAAAAGACCTGCTCAACCGCGCGCTCCTCATGGTATCAGTGCACGATAATATCCTCGCCGATATTGTCTTCATGCCGCCCGGATCCGCCGTGCTGGAGATTCGCCCCGTGGAGAATCCGGATGTGATTTTCCACCAGCTGGCGGATATCTGCGAGATTGAGTATTATTTGGCGTTTTGTGAGGGGGGGAAGGCGGTGGGGAGTGCGGCGGGCGGGTGGGCAGGGAAGCCCGTGGAAGGGAATTTGGGCGCCAAGGACCCCAAGGGGGTGCAGAAAATGTTGACGGATATTTCCAGGAAAGTGTTTGCTCGAGCAAATGCAATGAGACGGAAAGGAGGGTAGCTAGTCAGCTCGTGGGGAGTGCCGGTGGGGAGTGCGGTGGGTGGGTGGGTCGGGAAGCCCGTGGAAGGGAATTTGGTTGCTAAAGACCCCAAGGGGGTGCAGAAAATGTTGACGGATATTTCCAGGAAGGTTTTTGTGCGAGCAAATGCCATGAGACAGAAAGGAGGCTAGGCGATCAGCTCATGGGGAGTGCAGCAGGTGGGTGGGCTGGGAAGACCATGGAGGGGAATCTAGTACGGTAGTGAAGGATCCAAAAGGGGTGCAGAAAATTGATATTTCCAGGAAGGTGTTTGCTCAGGCGAATGTGATTAGACGCGAGGTTGGACATACGGCGGTATGTGCATTGGGGTGGGCTGGCTGGCTTGCAGGCAAGGTAGGGTTTTTTTTGGAGCCATAAACTTAGGTATGCTTCTGTTCTGTTGCCTATTTTTTCATTTCAATGGAGAGGGCATACCAGTATCAGGGTTTCTTGTACCGTAAGTGTGACAGACCTCAATGATTGATCGGCGGGGATCTTGCTAGGATTTAGGCCCGTCTGAAAATATAAATGAAAAAATCGTTTCGTCTGACGTTCAGACAGGCCAAAATTTTCTGTTTGATTTTTCATATGAAAGTTGGAGATGTGTCTGGTTTTTCAGACGATATATTTTGCTTAGTTTGAATTAACTAAAACACTTGTCGAGCGTGATTCAACTCTATTTTGCCGAAGCTTATAACGGAGGCGGTGGTGCGGCACTGATGGTGTGCTTGCTGACAGGCGAGTGACAAGTTGGAGGGAGGCGACGGGAGGGATGTGTTGGGATGGGACGCACGTGGCAAGAGGGACCGTATGAAAATATGCTGTAGATGCGAGACGCACGTTGGGGGGGGGGGGGGGGGGGGGGGAGAATGAGGGGTGGTGTCAGACGAAAAAAAAACCCGCTATCTAAAATCTCAGATGAAATCAGACGAGCTAAAATAAATAGTCTTATGGATCAGACGGAATAAAAAGCATTGCCTTAGAAATCAGATGAAAGCAAAAATGTAGGTCTGAAAGTCAGACCATCAGACCGATTTGGTCTGATAACCAGAGCGTAGATTCGACGCGCTCAGCTCGCCGCAAGAAGGAACGAGTTGCGACACTGCCAGAAAGCATGCTTGCTGGCTGGCGGCTCACACCATTTGCTATGAAACCACCTTCGCAGGGGCTATTTTGCACGAAATATGTTTTTTACATTAGTAGGAACGCACTTAACATTTCTTTTACACTTGTGAGTAGGCTTTACAAATCTGATCAGGAAAAGGTAGAAAGCTACAACCTGCCAAGGCTAAGTGAGAGCTCTGGAAAAGAAGGCTCATAAAACCCGGGCAGGTCCAACGACGGCCCTCGGGCAGAGGGAGAGCAGCCTTCCCCTAATACAACCTCCCCCATAAGGCTCTCCCCTTTGACGTTCTTTCCCATACGAACCTTCCCCACGAAACCCCCTGCCTTGGCGCCCTCTCCCGTGTGGCTCTCTCCCTTGGGGCCATGAGGTGGGGCAAGAGAGCAAGCCAAGGAGAGAGAGGAGGGCGAGAGCGAGAGTGCGTCGATGAAATTCCTCTCCATGGGCTGCGCTTCGGCTGGCGTGGTCGCCTTGTCTCTTGCAGCTGGAGCAGGAGCAGCAGCAGCAGCAGCAGCAGCAATAGCGGTGGCAAGGGCAAGAGCGGGAGCAAGAGCAGGAGCAGGAGCGTTGCTGTTGGAATGAGTGAGGACGTTAGAGGGCATGGGAAGACGAGAGCCCAGAGCTGTGATTAAAGAAGCACTGCTACCAGGATCCCTCTTGAGCCGCTTCCCTGGGTGGGATGGTTGCTCCCAGGTGCTTCCATCGCACACATTGCTTGATAAGCAAAGTCCCGTTGTGCCGTTGCTCTCACTGTTGCCGCCGACAGTGCTGCGCTCGGCGGTGGGTGCGAGATTAGCGTGAGCGGAAGGGACAGCGTACATAGCAGGTCGCATTGCTGGTGCTGAGATTGGAAGGGGCGTAGGGGGTGTGGATGTGTGCGGGGAGGGTGGAAGGGGGGGGAGACTTGCTGACACTGGCTGGTTGAATTGGCCGGCATACTGGATCCTCTGCTGTCCCTGCTGCCATTGCTGGCTTTGCTGCTGCGGCTGGTGCTGGCTGTCGTTCTGTTGTTGCTGTTTCTGTTGCTGCTGCTGCTGCTGTTGATGCTGCTGCGGTTGCCCGCTCAGGCCGTGCTGGGGAAGGCTATGTGGCGAGGAAGCATGATTGCCAGGCTGGCCAGAATCCCAGGGAGTCAATGGAGGCTCCGTGCACAAGAGCAGCTGAGGTGGCGGCTCCTGATTGGACAGCATCTGGAGCAGCGGCATTCGATTCTCGCCGCTCCCCTCAGCTGTCTTAAGATAACCCTGTCGTCTGGGGTGCGACCCGGGCCATTGAGACGCCTCAGTGCAATGCTGCTGAGGCGGCGTGGAACGCAGAGCGTGATGGGCCTCACCGCACGGATGATATGCGGCATTACCACCACAAGGTACGGATGATGTGACTCCTAATGTTATGCTAACTCCTCCCGACGCATCTTGACGGCCTGAGCAATTTAGACTTGACTGATCCAGTGGCATCATAGGCCGACCCATCATCAACTGCTGCTGCTGAGATTGCAGCTGAGCCTGCTGGTGCGGGGGAGGGGAGCGCACAGAAAGTGCCTGGGTGTTGTTCCCTGGAGCGGGAAACGTTGCTAAATGCGGCTCCGCCTGCCCTCCGTTCCGCCCCGTTCTTAGCTTTGGCGTCTGCTGCTGCACTAGAAATTGCTGCTGCTGCTGTTGCTGTTGGTGCAGCATGATCTGCTGTTGTTGCTCCTGCTGCCGCCACACGCCGCCGCCGGCGGCGGAAGCTGCAGGCACCATCATCACGCCGCCTTGCGGCGGCGGCGACGGCGGCGGCACCGCGGCCGCGGCGGCGGCGGCGGTAGCAGAAGCGGCAGCAAGGAAGCGGTTGCGGGAGAGGCGGGAGGAGAGCAGCGGCGGAGGATGGTTGTGCGCATTCTCGAACCAGGTCTTCTCCTTCATTGCCGTCTCCGTCGACAATTCCCCGCCGGCGGCGGAATCCGAACCCGCCGCCGCCGCCATGGCCTCGCCCGCGGACCCTTGATCATGGCCCGCGCACGCCACCGCGCCGGCGGGCCCGGGAAAAGAACTGCGTGCCCAGAAATCCTGGGGCGAAGATCCTGAGAGTTTGTCGTTCCGGGAGACGGATGCGAGGAGGTTCAACCTCCCCGCCGCATTGGGAGAAACGGGTTTTCTGTTGTCGCTGGTTGTGCTGGCTTCCGGAGACAGCGCACCTCCGCCGGCGCAGCCGCCGTCGCCGCCGCCGCCGCCGTCGCTGCCGCCGCCACTGGATGCGGCGCGCCCGTTCAAGCTGCCGGCGCGGGGTCGCTTGCGCGGCTTATCGACGATTTTCTTCGCGGGGCACCCGTGCGTGTCCTTCTGCGCACAGGCGTAGTAGAATCTGCGACGAAACACGGAGGCGGCAAATAAAAACGGCAATGCGACTTGTTAGTGCCAGTGACTGGCAGTCCTAAATCCCATATATTGCCACCACCAGCTTACTGCTGGATGTGACACATGATTGTTTGCTGGAATTTCTCGTTTTCCCGGCGAAAAAATCATGTTCAGGGAAAATCGCGACTCGGTGTGTGAATCCTCACCGTTTGACGTTGACGGACGCGAGAACCTTGTGACCGTACTTCTTCCACGAGTAACCCGTACAGCTGGTAGCATTGCGCGATTCGGAAGGGATAGCGGCGGCGGTTTCCATCATCGTATCACACGGATCGCGAGACTCTCTCGAATATTGTGGTCGACGTTTGATGTTTCAAATCAAGTTGAGTTGTTTTTCCCACAGTAAACAGTAGAAGTTTCTACTCCGGGAGTCTCGCTGATATGGTGGTTACAATGGGGAGGGAGTCAGGCCTACAAATAGAAATAACCAAGTTTGACCTCGAGCACGCAGCAATTGTGCGAGCTAGTTGCTTGGTGTGATTCCTTCCCGCTGCATTCCCTGCATTCTCATCACAACATTCTCAACTTTCGCAACGGACTGAACAGAGGGGTGTGCCAGCCAGCACCCACCGCGTTGGGGGTGCGATCGGAGGGAAGCAGCAGGATAGTGTAGGCCTGCGGATGCGCTGTTGTTGTGCTGTGAAGCTCTGTGCAGACTCCGCTGTGGTAGTGTGCTGCACTGCTGCGGAGTAAGAGGCGCAACACGAGTGTGCCAGCGCGCGCATAGACCAGACCGGATTGGGCGACGACCCGACTACACGACGACGGGTCTTGGCGGGCGGGCTGACTGAAACCCCCATCGAAGCCAGTCACTGATGGGAATGATCGCTCGCTCGCACGCTCGCATCCCACCCCCAAACCCATCGTGAGGCTTGGATGGCATTCACACATTTCATGGTCTAGGCGCGTCGCACATTTGGAATGAAGGGGTGCGAGGGGGGATTAGGGCAAGAGGGGAGAAGTGGGGGAGTACAGTTGTGCGGAAAGGCGGCTTCAACAACTGTGGGCCAGTTGTATGGTCCAGTCTGATAAAAATGTTTTCAAGTACGACGTTTTACAGTTTAGGATTTTGAGAGTCCTCCAAATACAGACTTTGTACATGTCTTTCTAGTTCAAATGACTTTTAGCACGCTGGCATGTCGATGTTCGCAATTCACACGAAGTGTGGATATTTTATATCCGATACTAGTGTATGTGTTCCTTTGTGCTGCTGGTGATGGTGGTGGTTTGATGTGAAACTGGTTCCGTGCTATGCCCACCGAGTATCACACAACCATAAAATCCGGCCGGGAAGCAAGGACAGCTACACATAGTATATAACGAAGCAAGGACAGAATATATGGACTGTAAATTTTGCCTTTTGCTGTTCTCTGGCTGGTCGCAGCCCCTTCTAAGGACGTGGGCCCGATCGACTTTGATCGGCTCGATCAAAGGCGATCAATGAATTCAGGAAGGCGGGAGT